TTGGTACGCTTGATCCCGAGGCTAGGAGGGGGATACTCCCCGATGTGCATATCTATACGAAGAGCAAGTTGCCGTGGGTTGTTATTCCAGAGGGCGCGAAGAAGTTTGAAGAGTTCTATGATGCTAAAGAGCAGTGGCCGGAAGAAAGCCTTTCGAAGATGGCGGCCATTATGCCGGAAATAAAGCAATGGAAGTCTGAGGGAGGGAACTTCTCCCCTGAAAAGGCATGAGGTTTATACCCAAGCAGCATGGCGAAGATAATCGTTATGACTCGAATATTTTGAGATATAGATGGATATAGCGCCCCTTGACATAAGACCTCAATACCCCTTGTTTCGCTTTTCTCTCTTCTCTCTGCTATTGTGAATCTTGGACCAGAAATCATAGCCCTTTTGCCAAAGACATAGTCACGCGATGGACAATCCCTAGAAGAAAGAGACCTTATCACCTTTGATGGAGAGCAATATCCACCATAACTATCCTTATGAGACATGGGATTTTGTTCAGTAAAAGAGTGAAGGTGCGTTCTCTTTCCTTCAGGTTGACAAAGTGAAGAACTCTTGGCAGGAGACGATCCTTGCCAACCACACATTGACCACGGATTCCTCAGGCCCAACCTTTCCCGAGATGCGCGTAATTCCATGCCTGACGAAGGGGCGGTGTTAAGCGGGCAGAGAGGTGGGTAACGAACCGCGCGTCATGCGATGAGGAAGAATGGCTTGGACAATGAGAGATGGCGCGAACAGGGATTGCGCAAAATGCCTGATAATTCGCCCACGAGGCTGAGGGCAGGCGACGACGAGGCTTTGACCTTCAGAGTTGCCCTAGCGAGGTGAATTCAAAAATGCAAGCTGTCGCCCCGCAAGATCGAATGGCCCTGGTAGTTCCTTACCACATTCCCTAACGAGCACCATGACTATAGCAGACGGGCTGACTGTACTTTTCGCTTCCAACAAAGACACCATCCTCATCACAAGCCAGGTTCAAGCCGTGATTTTTCTCGTTGATTTCTGTTCACCAATATGGCTTCGCCAGATTTTGATGTCCGGTTCGAGCTTCATCTTTCGTACTCGAAATAGGCATATAGGCTTCTGGATTTTCGCTACCACCGCCGCACTCATCCTCCACGCAGGGAGGAGGTCGTTTTGCTCCTACGGGGGACTCACTGTTTTTACGTTCCTCAATACTTTCGTCAACACTCTCGGAATACCCCTAGTTACGTGTGCTATTTCTGATGGCGTTGACCTCGGCATGGTCGAGGTATTGTGGGCTGGTTTGGTTAAGTCACTGTGCTCCATCACTACGGGGTTTCTTCTTTTCCAGGGTGTAAAGGTCTTGGGAATTCTCTGTAGGCTTGTGTGGGCACACCCGTTTGCGATAGGCTTCTTGCTGGCTACGACTCTCTTCATTCTGCGTGTGGTACCATCGAGCTCGACAAAGCTGAAGCAGCTCTCCATCTCGTTACTTTCCCGCATCGGCTGGATTGCTCTGATTTCGGCGTTCAAACTTTTCGACATCGCCCCGGCTTGTTGGAATATCCTGTCCTGGCCGCTACGGACGTACGCACGTCTTGAAACCGGTTTCATCAACTGGAGAAAATCCCGAATTGCCAGCCCGCTTTATACTTACCAGCAACTTGGCCACCGGCAAATGAGACTGCTTAAAATCCGTCGTCGTCTTCCCTTTACTGAGATACAGTGTGAACTCTTTCACGCCAATATAGACGACCCTCCCGAATACACTGCAATCTCTTATACTTGGGGAGTTGCATCTCCCACTGAAGACGTCCTTATTGATGGTGCTCGGGCACGAGTAACTTCGACTGTGCATGATATCCTCCATCATCAAAGGTCCTATTTTTACGAAAAGGTTATCTGGGTAGATTCGATATGTATCAACCAAAGCGATACCACAGAAAGGTCAGAGCAAGTCGTTTTCATGAGGGACATTTTCCAAAAAGCAAACGGGGTTCTCGCATGGCTCGGAAAGACCCAAAGCACTTTCTTCACCATTGCGGCAATTCTCGGATTATTTCTAAATCAGAATAAACCTTCGAAGCCCGAATTAGCCGGAGGGCCATTGTTCACCGGGAGTGACGAGGAATGGAAGGCTCTCGGCCAACTACTCAAACACCCCTGGCTCAGTCGATCTTGGGTCGTACAAGAAGTAGCGGTTGCTTCGAAGGTCAGAATTGTCGCCGGTCATGTTGTAATTCCTTGGGAATTTTTAGAACATTTTCTTAAATACATGACTGCCACCCCCCACATCTTCAACGGGCTCGAGTTGGAAGATGAAGAGGTACACATGGCGAACAAGGAACGCCAAAGCCTGCGAGGGGGGTTGAATGGGACTCGAATGGCCACTGTGCGAAATAACCATAAAAATGTGCGATATGTTCCTCTGCAGAACATCTTGCAGGACTGCCTACACTTTAGGTCCTCGGATCCACGAGACAGGATCTATGCGTTTTTAGGCCTAACGAACGACGGTTCTCGCGATGCTATCGTCCCGGACTATACCAAGTCCATTGAAGATGTCTATACAGATGCTATGCGTTTCATGCTAACCCATGACGGGTCCGCAATACGTATGCTTTTGCGTGCAGGGATAGGTTACCCGCGAAAATCCGGAGCAAATTTACCTTCATGGGTACCTGATTTCAGTGACGATAAACCGACTGTATTCACAGTTCGTGGTGCTGGGGTCCATAAAGCAGGGTCGACATATCTCCCAAATATGGTACTCCCAGCAGAACGTCCAGAGTTATTTGCATTGAAAGGCTCAATTGTCGCCGAAGTCAAGGATCTTGGACCCATACTCGAACTAGAAAACCTCCCCACTCCACCGAAGTCTTTAAAAATGACAAAGGACGACCCGTCGCTGAATTACCTTCGACAGTGGTACCGGGAAACGATGTCTCTAATCCGTTCTCATTTTAAAGACCCTTACCCATCAGGACAACCCTTTGATGAAATCATATGGAGAACCTTCATCTCAGACACTGACCCAGACCTAGAAAATCCCGCGCCTATCGCGTCACCAAGGCTTGGGTCTCATTTTGAAGATTGGAAGTGGTGTTTTCTTGGTATAGGCGATGACGACGAGGAATTAGATGTTCCTGGCCTGGTCACGATAGTTGCAGGTGACATGAAGACGGACGACGATACTATCCATCGTATTATGGCGAGTGCAACCATGTATATGGGTGCATTTGGTGGGTGTATGATTGGCATGCGAACGTGCATCACCGCGGGCGGGTCTCTGGCTATCGTACCACCGGATACTCGACCAGGTGATCTAATTTCCGTTTTTTGGGGGGCATCAGCACCGTATTTGATACGGCCTCTAGCGAACGTGGAGCCTATTGAAGGGTTTGAGCATATGAACTACTATAATCTTGTCGGTTGCTGTTACATGCACGGTGTAATGAAGGGGGAGATTGAAATGGTAGAAGGAGAGGAAGGGTGGATCTTCCTGCTTTAGTTGACCCTTTGGCCGAATTTATAGATCAATCCATATGGCCAAAAGGATATGAGACCTAAAGGAGATGCCCCAAAATATTCGGACAGTCGGTGTTGAGATACCCCCTTCTTATTGTTGTGTCGGGAGCTGTGGGTCGGTTTCCTTGTTCCCCATTTACGCCAGTCCACCAATCCTAGTCGATCCTGAAACACATCCAACGCTTGAATCTGTATATAAATTCCTTTGGCTCAGAGAAACACTCTGTCTCCTGATATCCCAGCGTTCACATAACAGAGCAATCTAGAACTATCGCTCGAGCCCTGTTTGCGGATAAAGGCACCCAATTCACCCTCAACCTTGCAACCAAAATCTTAAATAAGGGTCATATCTTGGAAGGCTGCAACATCATCCCTGCTGACAGCCTCCATGGACGCAAAGAATGCCTCAGATGCATTTTCCCGGATAACCAGTTCTGTTACGGGTTATCTGTCGTCGCTACTATGGCCTCGGGTGGACGGTCTGAAGGCGCCGAGACGGCCGCATCTTCCTACGGCCAACGACGTCCTGATCGTCAAAGATATATTATTGAGCGGTACAAAACTCCCGCTAGAAATCATCGATTCCATAATCGATCATGCCGAATACTGGCCTCATGTTATTGCCAGGCGAGAATTGAAGGCGACTGCCCGTGGGCGCCCGTCCAGTGGAGACAACATCGAATACTTGCGAACGCCACCTTTGTGCTTTGATACGGTGCGTCTGAACCCCCAGAAACGGACACCCCAAGACCATTCCGGCATGAAGCATATCGGCCAATAATGACTGAATTCATATTCATACATACATAAAAAAGAAGGGATCCTACAAAATTCTAACACTGCATATAGTCTGACTTCGACTCTAAAACCTCTCCATCACTTCTTCCGGCCCGCACAATCCACCCTTGCCGGAAGATAGTTTTCTCCATATCATCTAATGACCAAGGATGGAGCAGCGGCGGACACCGCGGCACCTTCGAGCAATCTTACACCTGGTTCGACGTTACGCGCGAACCCTGGTCTCCGCCTCAAGAGAAAGGTGAACTAAAACACTCGTTCCTCCCGGGACCGAAAACGCTCCAGAAGAACGTTACTGCGAAAGGAGAAGCAACTAAGCATGAGATTACTTGGAATTATTGGGATAGCTTGGACCCCGACTCTGAGGAGGCCGAGGAACAGGCTAAAAAGCTGGGGAGGGGCCGTGCAACTATGAACGGGGAATTTGTGAGAGAGATGGAAGTTGGGGACTCTGTCGTTTTGTGGGCGCGGGCTAGATTCCCTGGATGGAGGAATACTGTACATAAAGCAGAGATCAAGCTATTCTGGGCTGTTTAAAGGGCACTTGCTGCAAGTGTGTGTGTGGAATGTGAAATAGATGGCATCGATACATCATGGACCTTCTACGATTTCATCGGAAAGACCACAACGGGTCCCCCATCAAAGGCCCTTGACCTACCAAACTCGAAGGGGTGTTGTCATGGAAAACAGGTATAGAAAGCAGCGGCTTTCCCTCAGTTGGGAGAGCGCTCGACCGAGGATCAGCAGGTCGCTTGTTGAGCCAGGCAAGCCGCAATTTCACTTTTTTTAAATCATTTTTTTTAACTGCAAAACAAAGCGAAACACACGAAACTGCTTCAACGCAATATCAAAGTCAACGCCAGATCGCAATTCTACAGTCGCTCTTTGAAGCGAGAGGACTTCATAATCAACTCGCTTCGCCACCTGACTTCGACGTCTACCCGTGGACGACTTCATCAAGTCTACATCAATAAGGAGGCAAACCTTCTATTCCCGGAACCGAGTGGGAGCCGTCGGGGATCGGAGATTTGAACGCGACATTCAGCACCTCGCGCTTCCGCTCAATCGGGCCGTAGGCTGCGTGTCATCGATGCCAAGGTTTCCATCAATTTTTTCGGAGGATGCGATAGCCTTGCGCTTGCAGCAGACCGTATTTCACCCGGTGTGGCCAGAGGTGCATTGCTCCCCGCTCTAGGGGAGGGGCTGGGTTGAAAGAAAATATCAAGGAGTTACGACAAGACCGGCAGGTGGTATCTACACCATGATAGATACGAAATTCAAACGTAATTTCTTCTCGACCTATTTGGAATTATAGAGGAGGATCCACTTCGTCCTGAGACAGGAACATAGACACAAAAACTCGGGGGGCAAGGTCCAGAGGCAAAGATAGAGAGGCGTAAAATCGGGTATCTCATCCATGGGTTACCCCCCATCCTGCATCGTTCCCTCCTCGGCCCAAAGAGCAAACAATCGGAATCGGGTAGACCGATTACCCCATCACCCACGCAGAAGAAGCCCGGTGAGGAAATCCTTGACCGTCTTTCTGGATCGCTTGACCTTTTGGTATACGAAGATGTTGCCTATATAGGAACATAAGCCGCTTTTATATGAGACTATGATTAGTAACAACCGTAAACCTCGGCACTTGGGTTACCCTTGTCGGCTTGAAGGACGCCGAGACGGGGTGATGTCACCAGCGATAAGAGGGAACCCTCCACAAAAATTACGAGTTTTTGCGCGTGAGAGTTGAACGAGGGATAATTAATAATGTATGAACCCATTCTGATTACAGAGCATCCGTTAGAAGGGTTTCTGAGAGTTTCGAAAGAACCTTGTGGTGGGAGTAAGGATAATTAATATTTTACGTATATAAAGAGGGAAGGGCGACGTCCTCAAGTAAACAATTGGAAACCCCACCTGTGAGAACTCATCACATATCAGTACTCTACCCCGAACACCCCTAAAGAGCACCTGAAAAAACAACGCTTTCACCTTCTCCTTCACCAACAATACTCAACCGCAATGGCTGCAGAGAACAAAGGTCTCTTCCTCAAGAAGGTCCCGGATGGCTACCCAATCCCTGGACAGGACTTGACCGTTGAGTCTGTCCCATTCGATGCCTCCGCGCCAGCACCAGAGGGTGGCGTGACGGTCCAGGTCATCTATGCTAGTTTTGATCCATACCTGCGCGGGCGCATGCGAGACCCTGAAGTCAGGTCGTACGTCCCCGCCTTCCAATTAAACAAGCCAATCGACACCCGCAGCATCGCCAAGATCCTCTCCTCGAACAACAGCAAATTCAAGCCTGGTGACTTGGTGACTGGACACCTGCCAGTCCAGGAATACGTCTCTCTCCCAGAACAATATGCGAATGGGTTGAAGCCGCTTGAGAACCCGTACGGGATCGAGGATATCCGCGTCTTCATCGGCGCGTTGGGAATGCCCGGTTTGACCGCATACTCGTCCCTTTACGAAATCGGAAAGCCAAAGAAGGGTGAGACGATCTTCATTTCGTCTGCTGGAGGTGCTGTTGGACAAATTGTGGGACAACTCGCGAAGCACGAAGGCCTCAAGGTTATCGGTAGTGTTGGAACCGATGAGAAGTTGAATTATATCCTCAAAGACCTTGGATTCGACGGAGGCTTCAACTACAAGAAGGAGAAGCCTAGCGACGCACTTGCCCGCCTGGCACCTACTGGAGTGGACATATACTATGAGAATGTCGGAGGAGAGCAGTTAGAGGCCGCATTGGATGCCATGAACGACTGGGGTCGCGTCGTCGCCTGTGGCATGATCTCGCAATATAATCTCGGTCCAGACGAGAAATACGGAGTGCGGAACTTGATGCACATCGTGACCAAGAGGCTTACGGTCCAGGGTTTCATTGTTAGTGATAAGGGTTATTCCGGCAAGTATTATAAGGAACACCAGGAACGCGTGGGTAAATGGATCAAAGACGGCTCTTTCACTGCTATCATCTCCGAAACAACTGGAATTGATAATGCCGCGGAGGGCTTGGTGGGAATCTTCAAGGGTGAGAACTTCGGTAAAGCAGTTCTGAAACTTCAAAAGGTAAGCTAGGTTCTAGTATATGTTCTCCCTGCATCATTAGCTAACGGAATCTGATAGTGAGAACCACAACTAGAGTCCGCGATCTCGTCCTGAGAAGCTGTGAAGATGGATGTTGGTGTTCATCGTGTCGGCTTCAAATGATTCACCTTGCCAACCATGACGGTTCCTCGGAATAAGATAAGGCGTTCCGTCAGCATGAGTTATGTTTCCATGTCATTTTGTGCAATAGGATAGAATATATCGGATATTAAATATCATTTCCTCAAGAAAGAGAAGAAAAATCTCACATCAAATGCATCTGCCATAAGCTTAAGTAAGCGTAGTACAAGATCACGGGATTTCTCGGCTCAGCATCAACCAATCACATGGCTTCCATTCCGATGGCACGCCAAGACTCGAAGTCTCCCGAGGAACAACTGTTTTTCCAGGCATGCGGGCAAAGGAAGAAGCCGACATCATACACTTGAAGAATCCGAAAAGATTCACTCTGCCGATAGCCCTCAACGTCCAATTGCGAGCACGTCCACGAAGGTCTCGCGAGCATCGACCCCCCCACGACCGACGAGAAGGCGTAACCTAACCACACAATGGCCTCGTTCATGCGCCCCTCGGCTTCGGCCTTCCGACAAACCTGTCTTCGATCCTTAGCAACCCCAGCTCAACGGACGGCATTCTACTCGACCAAGTCTTCGCAGTTCGGTGTCGCTGTTGCCGCATCGAAGCTGCGACCATCTCAATCGGCTATTGCTGGGAAGGTTTCCGGGTTCCATACCACTGGGAAGAAGCAGCTTCTTCCTGCGCAGCCACGTGAGTTTTCCGTGCCCATGGAGTATTCCGGAGAAGACTGAAGTGCTAATTGATTCTGGATATAGAGGTTGTTGAGGGAACGAGTAGGTCATCCCCTTTCCCGATTGAAGCCGATTGCTTGATGGAGAATATGGAACGGGAACAATGAAAATTGGCGTGGAGAAATATGCGGATATGAAGGCAACACGACTATATATGCGATACTAACGGTTGATTCAATAGCCAATGATGCCGCTCGCGTCCCACCTACCTCCCCTACACACGGTAGCTACCACTGGACCTTCGAAAGGTGCGAATTGCCCTCTCCAGATCTCTTTCAGGGCTAGGCCTAGGCCGATGGATTGTTATGATGTACTAACCACAATAAACATGGAGTAGAATCATCTGCGCTGCTCTGATCCCTCTCACAGTCGCTCCCTTTGCTGGTGGATCGCTGAACCCTATTATGGATGCCGTGCTCTGCGGTACTATTGTTGTGCACTCACACATTGGATTCCAGTAAGTATTGCAGTGTTCTAACCTATATATACCTCATTTATACACTTAACTAACGTCATGGCTCCTCTCACCAGAGCTTTCATCATCGATTACATCCCAACATGGCGTATCCCCAAAGTAAGAGCATTCTTCAAATGGCTCCTCCGAGCTGCGACTCTTACCGTATCGGTCGGCCTCTATGAGTTCGAGACCAACGACGTCGGTTTGACAGAGGCCATCAAGAGGATCTGGAAGGCTTGAATTTATACATTATTTACATTTCTTTTGTTCCATATGTTTCCCTCTTTGCCATCCATGTACATGAGTTTCCCTATGTTTACCAATATTTAGGTTGAATCCAACCATACCTTTTTGAAACCCGTAGTTTCTCCTGGTGCTTCGATGAGGCGTATTTTCTGCCCTTTGGTTGGGTAGAATTAGATCCATGAGGCTGCACCATAGCCATCCTGCAAGGCCTCAAAATGTGCCAAGGAGCTGACCAGCAACCAACCCCGCTTCAAGACAAAGATCAGAATCTATATGTATCACGACTCAAGTCTTCACCCGATCTATTTTCAAACGGCGTTGTGTGGATTGGTCTTATGGTACTCGTTTGAGTACCTTAGGTTTCACAAAGCAACAATAACATCCAGCATGTCGGGTCTCGAAATAGGAGGCGTCGTCCTGGGCGCATTCCCTCTCGTGATCGCGGCTATAGAAAGATACGAACAGGGGTTAGAAATACTCCGACTCTGGGATGCTCGTAAATACCAGTCGGAGTTGCGCGCTATCCGGCTTGAAATGAAGGTCCAGGAGGTACTGTTCCGAAATTCATACACGAAACTACTCTTGTCTTTCCTGGACCAGTCTGCCCTAATCAGGGTCCTAGCAGATCCTAATGGGCTCCGGAAAGAGAGTGCTGCAATTACTGCTCTTTTAAAAGGGCGGTTAGGCGATCATTGGGAAGCATATGATGGGCTGGTGAAAAGGCTGGAGAATACCTTGGTGGCCCTTAGGCTGAGTGTTGAAAGGGTGAATGGACCCTGCAGTAGGACTGAATATTGTATCGAGCAGGATGCTAAAATCTTCTCTTTTAGAACCAACTGGCCTCTGACAATTGGAAGGCGCAAGCTACGTCGCTATTGAACCGTATTCGCTTCAGCTTCTCCATCAAGCAACGATCAGGTCTTCTGGAGCGATTAAAAAGTGACAACTGGTCCTTCGCCCTTCTGACAGACCAACAGGACGCCCTGAAACAGTCCGGCCATTATGACTCAAATGTTAAAGTGTCGGCGTATCAGGAAGTGCGCGTCAAAGCACTGAACTTCCTTGCCACTGTGGTGGACAACCTCCGGTGTGAAGAAGAATGTGACTACCAACACTCAGCATCTCTGCTTCTAAACCCGTCAGTCGTACTG